ACCCTAAACCCTACACCCTTAATTAAAAAAACCCTAAACACCGTAGTAGTGTTTTACATAGAGGTTTTTTAGGGGTCTGTAGGCACTTATTTCCGTTGGATGACGAGCTGAGGATCCTGGCATCATCTTCGCAACTTCTTCGAAAACTGGGGGGGGGGGGGGGNNNNTGGGGACGGGGGACGGACCGGGGGGCAGGAGCAGCCGATTTTTAGGGCTTTATGGTTTGGTGATCAGTTCCTGATGATCAGTTCTTGATGTGTGGAGTGTCAAGGCCGGACGATGCTTAGGCAGGTGTTCTCACCTGTGCCATGCTGAGAGCGCCATGCCAGCCGGAAAGCTTTGATATGATCCTGCCGGCAAAGGTCGAGAATCTGTTTTGCTTGATCTTCACAGTCGAAATCATCATTCGGTTTATGGCCTTCAAGCCGCTTGTCCAAAAGACCCCTTAAGGGCGTGTTCTTCCGAAAGAAGTCTCAGATCCAACAACACCCGCGTGTAGGAACGGACACAGCGCAACTGTGGGAAAGGAAGTTGGTGAAAGTCGGTTCTGGCTCAGGGATCGAACCCTTGGCATCAGAAGCTTGTAATTCTACGACGTCCCGGCAGAATTGAAGTGCTTTCGAACTCTTTGCGGCACCTTCCTTGTCGTGCTCATTGCATCGCTTCATGCTCAAGCCCACGGCCCCCACACACCCGAACGTAGACTAACTTGCGCCCCACATACACCGATTGTATAGTCCAGCCCCGGGCACCGAGGTCGAAGTGGAACGGTATCCGTGACTTCTGGTTTATCTTCGACTTCTTGTTGGCCTTTTTTATGGTGCTGGAGACCTGGGTGCCTTGAAGCATTGGAGGGCCGAAAAGGGGAAGATCACCGAACGAGTGCTGTAGGTTGAGACATGAAATGTAACAGTGCGTGTAGGAACGCGAACACCCGTCAGGCACCTAAGCATGCAAATGCTGCAGGTGCATCTATGCATGCACTCAGAAGTTGAATGCGGATGCCTGTCTGAGTAGTCACTAGTTGCTCAAATGAGCCTGACTTACTAGTTACTTAGTTATGTCACGAGTGCCATTGTAGCAGGATGTGTTTGCTTTGACAGCACAGTGAAACCTGACAAACGACCCTGGCATCTAACTAGCTGTGGACAAGCTTGTCTATGGATTTGAGTTTGGGAGAGGTAGGCAGGCAAGGAGGGTGGGAGCGCGAGTGACGTTGTCCGAGAGGGCTGCACGAGGTTTGAGAGCGTCCTAGGCATGTTTGCCAGTTAGTTTTCAGGCTTGCACCACCAGTGTATCTTTGCGGAATCTACTTGTCAGAGTGGGTCCTGGACCCTTTGACAGGTCCTCTTTGTCGTCTTGAGCTTCACGGATTTCGACCTCGTGTTTTTCGACACCTCGGTGCTCCGAATGCTTCGGTTCTTCGGCTCAGCCGGCGAGCACTGGGCTCCAGAGGGTCAATGCCAGGGATCCTTTTGACTTCGCGTGGCTTGGGTTCTCAGCGTATGAAAAGGGGGTTGGCGCGTAAGACTGCCTAAGAGGGACCCAGGAAACTGGTATACAATAATCAACCCAACACGCGCACTGCAGCTGTACATGTGATGTGGTTGTGTGGGCATTTGGTACATGTGCAAGGAGCAACGGGGAGGCATCTCGGAGGGTGTGCTGCGATGGTTTCTACTGACCTTCAATGACTCATCACGCATCCAACACATACCGTTGACAGTCTCCTAAGCCCTATAAACCCTAAACCCTAAAACCCTAAACCCTAAACCACGAGGGCTGGGCCACTCCGAGGCTCCTTCGACTGACGCGTGTTGCTCGAGTCGCCAGCTTCTCGGCTGCCGAACAAAATTTTGAGGGTTTGGGGTCTATAGGGTCTAGGGATGTCTAGGGCCTATAGGCTATAGGGGTTATGTGGGAAGAGGGGGTTCGGGGTTTTTGCTTTGGTTTCTTGCTCTGTGGAAGTTCCATTGTTCTCGGGATCTCCCAGCTTACTCTGAAGGATCCCCTTTTTGAGATCCTATAGGGGGTCCTATAGGCTCCCTATCTAATAAAAGGGGCCTAAATCATTGCCAATTATTATATAAGTATACTAGAAAGGACTACAAACCCCTAGTCTAGTTAGTAAAGCCCCTGCTTTACTTTCGTGAAACTATCCTAACATAGCCAGAATCAAAGTCCTTGAGAGACACACGATCCCAACCTGGAACTGTGTCTGCTTATTAGCTTTGGAGCCATGCAGCGTGATCCCAAAGAGAGACGGTGTCTTTCACAAGTTGTACTACATGTAGGTTTCGATGTATCAGCAATCCTATATTGGAGCCCCTGAACAAATAAGCTATTGCGTCCTAAACGGCATCAAGTCACTTGATACCTGCGTTGCAGACTTTGCATTCTATACCAAGTGCCCAGATTGTTGAAAGTAGTGGCTTGTTTGATGGTTCTTCATGACAACGATTTTCCAGCCTAGCGACAAGAGGACCAAAAGGGTGCCCCCCTTGAGTTTCGATAAAATGCCGCCTTCTTCCCAGGAATGCTCCGGTTCCTTCCAGAAGTTCTGATCCTGGTTCGGGCCATCGGGGCGGCCACACGCTCCGTCGTGCTCACGGCCCCTTCTGCGCAACTCAAGATAGAGCACGGAAAGAGCAAGGAACACCGGCACAAGCAGAACCACGTGGATACGAGATAGTTCGAGCTTGTAGATAAGTGCTTGAAGCAAATGTTCTTAATGAGTTGATATCTATAATTTATGCGTCTGTCTTCCAATCAATCTACCTACCTCTGTATCAAACTACCTATGGACTGAGTATGCATAGCAGGTTTGGGCTCCTGACAGTCAGCCCAACCTTCCATCGACCTCTACCCATGCATGGCTTTCTACATTGAGCACATATGCGTAGCAGTCGGCCAATCCTGCTTTTGTCTTCCGATAAAATTGGATTGGCCCCCGCGAAAGGATGACACGCACAAATCGAGAAGTCTACCAAAACCCTTAATCCTGCCCCTGCCTTGAGTGTGCGAGTCGAAACCCTCAACTCTGTTTGCACAAGGTCATGCTCGGCCTCATGATCGTGTATGTCTTCGCTATCGCCTTCTGCTCAGCAGCAAGTTGAGGGTTTAAGGCGTCAAAGGCTTCAAGAATCCGTGCGAGTCAGTGTGCACTTCAGTGACAATCTGAAGCTTCTTCAATGCAGAGGCGATGAATCCGTAATTCTTCCTGGCTCCTGACCTCGGAAGAAGTTTTCTGGTGTAGTCGAGGCTCTGACCCAGATCGCAGTTGACACGCCAGCTGGCACCAAGTACTTCAGCACACTGCCAGAGGCGGGCATCTTCCGTCGAATCTGCTGGTGGCTACTCCTCAATCCCGCGTTTCCCGAAGAGCCTAAGACATTTTCAGGTGGGTAGTTACCGATATAGGAGCCTTATAGAAGGTCTATATACCTGAAAGAAGCCCTATATACCCTACACTCCCCGCCTGTAGTTTCCTGTAGAAGAGAGATGATGCCACTCCAACGAACACCTCCCTCTTTGCAATGAATGCATCCCAGTCAAGAAAGCTTCCTTCGCCTCCTTTGCAAAGGCCATGTTTAGCCTTACTTTCCATGGCTGCTTCAACAATGACATGGCGGGGATGGCACGCCTCGCCTTCCAGGACGGAGCGCGAGAGGTTTAGAGTTTAGAGTTTCTATAGAGTATTTGTGCATGGCTACTAACTATATACTAGAAGTCCTTACTGTTTAGCTTCTTCTGTCGGGTGTTGTGGGATCTGCAGCATTTAGGGGCATATGATATGGTCCGGTCCGGCCATGATGGTTGGCAATGATGCATCCATGCCTCGAAACTCCTAAATCCAGGACGACCTCATTGTAGGCGCCCTGTTCGCTTGCTTCATCGTCAGCGCGCCACTGACAGTGGGACTCTGAGATTTTTGGGGGCTCCGATTCTAAACCCTATAAACCGAGCTTGAGTCGAAGTGAGGGGACACATCCCGAATGCAGGGAACGGTTTGGTGATTCGAAGTTGTGGCTTGTTGTTCCCTCCGATGGAAGGAACGGGTTAACGTGGTCATTAGCCGCAAAAGCTAGTGCTCGCCAATGAGTGATATCGTCGTACCAGGAACCTGGCCCAGGCATGTCCGAGTGTGAGTGCTGAAACCGGGCTGTTCGGTACTGTTCCTGAGGCCGAGGCCAGGGATGTTCTGCTCAAGGATTCTTCCGGTTCCAGATATGCAAAAGCCTATCATCGCGATGCGAAGAACCCGTGCTCCTCTTCACCGCGGGTTGACATGTATAAACTATGAAACAATCAGCGGCCTTGACCCATTTCTCCTATACAACACATCAGCTGAACCTTTCACGAACCAACTTTCAGCTTTGTGGGCGGAGTTGGCTTGACTGAACTCTTGCCCAGGTGCATGATTGACCTGCCCGATGTTCTAGCGGCTAGCGAGCAGTCAGAATCAAAGACCTGTGAATATCCGCCCTCCCCAAGCTGACCAACCTAACAAACCACCGCATGTCGAGATCATGAACCTTCTCGTGGGCGTGCTCGTGGAAGTGGTGCGCGTCGTGGCCACTGCGGAGCAGGAAGGGCGTGTGGTGAGCAATCTGCGACTTGGCCTTCAAATTGAATCACTTCGCGTGCTGTCGGCATGTGGCCGTTTTTCAATGTCATGGCTGGCTTCAACAGGCCTTTAACCTACGACCTGATTGGAGGCCCCGGAAAGGCTGTAAGAGTGTTGGCATTTAGTGTCCACTATTTGGGAACGGTTGGGGAAAACCCATGAAAATCCGAAGCCCCTGAACCCTAGGCCCTAAACCNNTGAGGAAGGAGGAGCTGCATTGGGCCAAGGAGGCTTTGGGAACAGAAGGCGAGACCATCAGCCAGGAGCCGAAGTTGTTGGTTTTGTGTTCAAACGTTTAGGGTTTAATTTACCGGGTTTAGGCGGTTTAGGGTTTCGG